GTAGTGTGAAGCAACAGTGCACCGTGTGAGTAATCAGAGTGAGGGGGCTGAACCGAACGGTCGTTCACTGTCCCTGGGTGCGTGGCTGAAGTGAAATTCCGCGATGCGGATTCTTGTTGTTGTTGCTGTTTTTCTTGTTGGTGTGGTTGTTTGTTGTTTGTTGTTTGTTATTTGTTGTTGTCGTCCTCCCACCCGCGACCCACCCCGCGACCCACCCGCGACCTACCCCGCGACCCTCCCCGCGACCCACCCGCGACCCACCCCGCGACCCACCCCGCGACCCACCCGCGACCCATCCGCGACCCACCCGCGACACACCACGCGACCCGCCCGCGACCCACCCCGAGACCCCCCGGCGACCCACCCGCGATCCACCCGCGACCCACCCCGAGACCCGCCCGCGACCCACCCCGCGACCCACCCGCGACCCACCCGCGACCCACCCGCGACCCACCGCGCACCACCCGCGACCCACCCGCGACCCAAGCCGCGACCCACCTAAAATTTTCGGTTCGGCGCCTGCGGCGGGTTTCTTTTGTATTCGTTCCAGGTGGAGAACCTGCGACCCCTGCGACCCAAACCGCGTTCAGTGTACAAATCAACATGTTCGGCGCCTGCGGCGGGCTGCAGTATTCGAATTCTTTCCAGGTGGAGGTGGAGAGCCCGCGACCCACCCGCGACCCAAACTACGTCCACTGAACAAACCAAAACTTCGGCGCCTGCGGCGGGTTTCTTTTGCATGGGCGACCCACCCGCGACCAACCGGCGACCCACCCCGAGACCCGCCCGCGACCCACCCCGCGACCCACCCGCGACCCACCCGCGACCCACCCGCGACCCGCGACCCGCCCGCGACCCACCCGCGACCCACCTGCGACCCACCTGGCGACCCCATGTAAAATTTGCGGCGCCTGCGGCGGGTTTCTTTTGCATTCGTTCCAGGTGGAGAACCATGCGACCCAAACCGCGTTCAGTGTACAAATCAACATTTTCGGCGCCTGCGGCGGGCTGTATTCCAATTCTTTCCAGGTGGAGGTGGAGAGCCCGCAACCCACCCGCGACCCAAACTACGTTCACTGAACAAGCCAAAATTTCGGCGCCTGCGGCGGGTTTCTTTTGCAAGGGCGACCCACCCGCGACCAACCGGTGACCCACCCCGAGACCCACCCGCGACCCACCCCGCGACCCACCCGCGACGCACCCGCGTCCCACCCGCGACCCGCGACCCGCGACCCACCCGCGACCCACCGCGACCCACCCCCGCGACCCACCCGCGACCCACCCCGCGACCCACCCAAAATGTTCGGCGCCTGCGGCGGGCTTCTTTTGCATTCGTTCCAGGTGGAGAACCTGCGACCCACTCGCGACCCAAACCGCGCCCAGTGTACAACTCAAAGCTTTCGGCGCCTGCGGCGGGCTGTTTCGACGCCCGCGTCGCCCGCGCCCGCCCCCTCACTCTTATCCGCAACTGCGGGGGGGCACGGGGATCGGAGATTGTCAACAACCAACAGCATACCCTCAACAGCGTAGTGTCAACAGCGTAGTGTCAACAACGTAGTGTCAACAGCGTAGTGTCGATGAACAACAAGATCTCAAGCAACGTAGCCTGAACCAACATCGTACCGTCAAGCAAAAATGCACCGTGTGAGTAACATGGTCAACAATCATCAGCGCACTGTCAACAACCCAGTGTCGACAGCGTAGTGCCAACAGCATAGTGTCAATAGCGTAGTGTCAACGACTGCGAAACCTCAAGCAACGTAGCCTGAGCCAACAGCGTCGTCTGGTTCAGGTCACAACGTTGTTTATGTCGTTGGTTTTTGTCACGACGCTGGTTGCACTACGCTGTTGACACAACGCTGTTGACACGGCCTGCTGACGCTACGCTGTTGACACTACGCTGCTGACACTACGTTGTTGACACTACGCTGTTGCTTGAGACTACCAGTCAACAGCGTAGTGTCAACAGCGTAACGTCAAGTAACAGCGTATTGTCAACAGCGTAGTGTCACAAGTCTCTCCTCTTAATGCGAACAACGTCGTGTCAACAGCGTACTGTCGCAGACCAGAAGCGCACAGTCTCTCCTCTTAATGCGAACAATGCAATGTCAACAGCGTAGTGTCGCATATTAGGAACGTGCAGCCTCTCCTTTCAATGCGAACAACGTAGTGTCAACAGCGTAGTGTTAATTCACCCTGCGCTAAGTAATGTCAACCGCGTAGTGTTAATTCACGGATTGAATGTTTACTTCACTGTTCGGAGATACCCTGGGCCTCATAGGGAAGCCCGCCGAAGACCCAGACGCCAGTGCTCGCATGCGCCCACCGCACCCATTTCGGTACACCTCTCACACGCGTTGTGGCCCCATAGGGAAACCCACCGAAGGGCCAAATGTCAGCGCTCGCATGCGCCCACCGCACCCATTTGGCACACCCCTCACACGTTTTGTGGCCCCATAGGGATCTCCACCGAATGCGGCCCATTTCCGACCCATCCGCGACCCATTTGCGACCCATTTGCGACCCACCCGCTACCCACCCACATTGGTTTAACGAAAAAGTCGGCGCCTGCGGCGGGCTCGTTGTATAGCTAAGTCGTAAACTTTGGCGCCTGCGGCGGACTTCTCTAGATTCTCGCAGATTGCTAACGTCCCCACCGCCCCCCTCACTCTTATCCGCATCTGCAGGCGCCGATTTTTTCGCTCAACCAATGTGGGTAGGTCGCGGGTGGGTCACAAATGGGTCGCTGTTGGGTCGCGGGTGTAGAAAGCAGAAAATCCACCTCCTAAGAATCACCCCGACAAGCGAAGCCGTTTAGTAAACGCATACAAGGAATGAATCTAACAGGGCAGGGCTGCTTAATCAACGCCCAAGGCCGTTTAGAAAACGTCAATTGTCGGGTCCGGGTGGTTTTTCCTCCCTTGAGGGTGGGTCGCAGTGTGGGTCGCGCGTGGGTCGCGGGGTGGGTCGCGGATGGGTCGCGGATGGGTCGCGGATGGGTCGCGGATGGGTCGCGGGTGGGTCGCGGGGTGGGTCGCGGGTGGGTCGCGGGGTGTGTCGCGGGTGGGTCGGAAAGTGGGTCGCGGGTGGGTCGCGGGGAGGGTCGCGGGTGGGTCGCGGGTGGGACGACGACATCAAACAACAACAAACAACAACAACAACAACAACAACGACAACACCAATCATGTTACACTCATGCGCGATGTTTCACACGAAGCATGCGACCATCGTGAAAACCATCCACGTGATAGGGGACTCTTGTTCTATAGCGGGGTCCGTTATTCCCATTCCCAGATATCCCGCCCAATGAGGTTTTGCTAACACCTCCTCCGAGGAATTTCAACATATCCCGCCTCGAAAACACATGCCCGCGCCTTGCTGCGCCGATGCGAGACCGCCAGTGGAACCCCAGCGAAGGGTAAAGCACAAGGAAGCATCGAACGACAGGATTGCCTTGATGGGGATAGGGGCTGTCGGCGGTGAGGCAAGGACCTGGCCCTGAATAGAAAGGGAGCAAGTCTCGAGCAGGGCTGCTGTTGTTGTTGCGGCGCCAATGCTGAAGAGAGTAGGGCGCTAGTCCAGCGTAAAGCAAAACGAAGTCTCGAGCGGGAGCGCTGGTTTTGTTGGGACGGCGGCTTTCGGCGGCGAGGAGGAACACCGCCTTGAGTAAGAAGGAAGGAAGCATCGAGAGGGAGCCGTGGTTTTGTCGGGACGGGGGCTGTCGGCGGCGAGGAAGCGCCGCGCCGTTGTTCTTGGGGGAGCGGCGCCAATTCAAAAGAGAATAGGGCGCCAGTCCAGCGTAAAACGGAAGGAAGTCTCGGGCGGGAGCGCTGGTTTTGTCGGGGTGGCGGTTTTCGGCGGCGAGGGGGAACACCGCCTTGAGTAAGAAGGGAGGAAGAAGCATCTGGTTTTGTCGGGACGGGGGTTGTCGGCGGCGAGGAACAGCACCGTCTTCAGGAAAAAGAGGGGAAGCCTCGAGCGGGAGCGTTATTCTTGCTGGGAACGGCGCCAATTCAAAAGAGAATCGGGCGCCAGTCCAGCGCAAAACGGAAGGACGTCTCGGGCGGGAGCGCTGGTTTTGTCGGGGCGGCGGTTTTCGGCGGCGAGGAGGAGCACCGCCTTGAGTAAAAAGGGAGAACGCCTCGAGCGGGAGCATTGTTTTTGCTGGGGGCGACGCCGATGAGAGAAAGACTAGCGCGCCAGTCCAAGGTAAAACGGGAGGAAGCCTCGAGCGGGATCGCTGGTTTTGTTAGGACGGCGGCTTTCGGCGGCGAGCAAGAACACCAGCCCTAAGTAAAATAGGAGGAAGTCTCGAGCGGGAGCGCTGTTGTTGTTGGGGGGACGGTTTTGGCGGTCCCCCAAACCGCTCGAGCGTGAGCCTCATGTTCAATGAATATGTAGCCGGCGCCTCGGCGAGAGCGCCAAAGCACATTTAAGGTGCCCAACAGAAATACATAAGTAATTAACATTCAACAACAACGACAACAACGCAAGATGCAGAATTCTCACCACGAATTCCTTATTCAGCCACGCACGCAGGGACAATGAATGACCGTTCGGCCCCCTCACTCTGATGTCTGCGTACACACATTCACACACCGAAGGGGTTACGATCGAAGTCGAAGAAGGCGGGTAACGAAAGATTGGGATATACATGTTGATCGACACACGAAGAAATGATAACAAACAATCGCAGCATGTCTGTTGTTGTCGTCATCATTGCCGTAGTTGTTGTCCCCCCGCGACCCACCCGCGGCCCACCCGCGACCCACCCGCGACCCACCAGCGACCCACCTCGCGACCCACTCGCGAACCACCCCGCGACCAATCCGCGACCCAACCGCGACCCACCCCGCGCCCGCCCCGTCACTCCTATCCGCACCTGCGGGGTGCCACCTATTCGTGCTCGTGGGCGAGGCCAGGAGACCCTGCTCGCCATCCTGAATCCCAGGATGGCCCTGGTAAGGCACGGCGGTGGTGCACAGATGGTCTTCGCGGACGTCCTCGCGGGTGCCTGTCGAGGACGTCGGGCTTCCGCTCGCCGCGCGGCGGCGGGCACGTGCGGCGGCGGCGCGGAGGCCGAAGCGCGCGCGCAGCGGCGACGTCTGCGCCGGGCCCGCCCATGGCCGCGCGGGAAGGCCCTGCGGCGCGCACGCTCGGCGAGGGGCCGGATCGAGCCCAGCTCCCGTGGCAGCTCACGAGAGCCTCCCATGTCGTCGTGCTGGCTCTTGCGAGTGGACGCTAGCCGACGCTGGCCGACGATGATCGAGGCTGATCGGGGCTGAATCGATGCTCTTAGACGCTAAGTCGGCGCCCTACCATCGATTACCAGAGGCTAGCGCACGCTAATGTACCCGAGAGAGGGTATCCAGACGACGTACACGGCTACCACGAGTTGCTGCCGAAAGGCCTGTCGAAACTGAGAGCTTGAAATCCTCGAGTCGATTCGGACTGACTCGGCGGATCGTACCGCACTGTCGATGCATCGGCGATGCGCCTGCCATGGCGGGATGGGGGAGATCGGATTCTCGATCGTGCCGAAACGTTGATACACTGATACACCGGCGATGCGGAGCAATCCCGACCCCATCAACTCCAGCCCAATTCGGGCGGCCGGGAAGTAGGCGTGGCATGCTGAGATTTGTGTGCCAGCATGGCTTTACTGTGCGCGGCTTTCCACGGCGACACTTGCCACACGAGAACCGCTGTTTCTGCGCCTTGGGATCAGAAGAGGGATGCCTCGCCAGCGTCACATTTGTATGAGATTTCACGGTTGGCCGACCCCAGAAGAAGTCCGTACTGCAAGGCACATGGTGTACCAAAGAGACCCCATCGATGCTTCACACCGCATCAACCACCCTCTAGGTGATAAGGAGGCTCAAAGGTGTCATTCTCTTTGGCTTGCTTTAAACGCACGACAGCTCACAAGTGGACAGAAATGTGGACACCACAATGAAGTTCACGCTTCGATGTTTATCAAGTGGACAGACACAATGTGCCTGCCCTCAAACGACCCAAGAAACCTCCAAGACGCTTCAACAGTGCTCCCATGAGGGCCCCAAGTAAGAGGCGAAATGCATTGCTTGTCCTTAGGTGTTTGCAGGTGTGTGGTCTTCTTACCGTTTCGGCTTTCCGCTGCGTCCAGACGGCCCATGAGGCCCCAAAACTTGCCACCAGACAACCAAAGACGGCCTGAGAGGGCGCCACGATGGCCCAAGAGGTGACCAAGACGGCCTAAGAAGGCCCCAAGATGGCCCCAGCAGGGGCGCAAGAGCGGGACCACAAACCGAACATTCTTGTCTTCCGCCTCAACGAGCCCGAGGAGGCTCTCAGAGGCGCCCGAGAAGCCCCAAGAGACCCCAAAGAGGGAGGCCCCAGGAGGCCCCCAAGAGGCCCCCAAAAGGCCCCTCACAGGCCCCAGACCTGCCTCCAAGATGCCCCCGAGAGGCATCCACGATATCGAAACGAACGTCAACGAAGCCTCAGACCAACAATCCAGGCACGGTGGCGGAATGGGCAGAAGGCCACTATATATGATTCCGCCGACCCTTCGGCGTGTGTGAAATGCTTTTCCGTTTGAGTCGTCGTCGTCGCCAGTCCCAAGGAACTTGAGAAACAAGGAAAAGAGACGTTGGAGTTAAGTCGCAGGGAACCCTCTTCCATTTTTCTCTTTCCTGCCTGGGGGGGGGGGGGCATGGGCGCGTGGGGGCTGACGGAGGGGGGGGGTCCTGGGTCACAATACCTTCCCCGGGGGGCGGTCGCAAGCCATAGTCCTGGGGGAGGTCCCGCCTTCAGGGTCGGCGGCACCGGCAGTAAGGCCTTCGCAACCAATGTCTCAGCTCACGCACGTGCTTTGTGGGTCCCGAAGATACGCAAGAAAGAAACCAGTATTGTTTTCCCCCAACCCTCCTGTGGTTGGGCACTCGTTTTGAATAGAGCAGTGTGGTCGCACCGTCCTCCTCCTCCTCCCCCCTCCTCCCCTCCTCCTCTCCTGTTTCCTGTGTTCCTCTCTCTTCTTCCCTCGTGCCGTCGGGCTGCGATCTGAGCAACTGTCGCCACTTTCGTGGGCTCCTGGGAGGCCCAGCGGAGGTACGTCCAACGCGGACCACCTCGAGACCTCGCGGCGCCCTGGGGGGCTGCGAACTGAGCAACTGTCACCACTTTCGTGGGCTCCTGGGAGGCCCAGCGGAAGTACGTCCCACGCGGACCACCTCGAGACCTCGCGGCGCCCTGGGGGGCTGCGATCTGCGCAACTGCCACTTTCGTGGGCTCCTGGGAGGCCAAGCGGAAGTACGTCCCACGCGGATCACCTCGAGACCTCAAGGCGCCCTGGGGGGCTGCGATATGCGCAACTGTCGCCACTTTCGTGGGCTCCTGGGAGGCCCAGCGGAGGTACGTCCCACGCGGACCACCTCGAGACCTCGCGGCGCCCCCGGGGGCTGCGATCTGCGCAAATGTCGCCACTTCGGTGAGCCCCTGGGAGGCCCAGCGGAGGTACGTCCCACGCGGATCACCTCGGGACCTCGTGGCGCCCTGCCACTTTCGTGGGCTCCTGGGAGGCCCAGCGGAAGTACGTCCAACGCGGACCACCTCGAGACCTCGCGGCGCCCTGGGAGGGCTGCGAACTGAGCAACTGTCGCCACGTTCGTGGGCTCCTGGGAGGCCCAGCGGAAGTACGTCCCACGCGGTCCACCTCGAGACCTCGCGGTGCCCTGGGGGGCTGCGATCTGCGCAATTCTCGCCACTTTCGTGGGCTCATGCGAGGCCCAGCAGAGGTACGTCTTACGCGTTACCGCTGCTCTTCTTGCTGCGTTCTTCTGATTTCACTGCTGGGCGCTCTTCTTCCGCATTGCGGGTTTTCAGCAGGCCCGTCAGCATTGAGTGGTCCTGACTTTAACCACCACATGTATAGAAAGGGTTGGGTACGTCGCGGGGTAATTTAAAACATATCCTGCGACGTACCCAACCCTTTCTATACACGTGGAGCTTACATTCAGGACCACTCAATGCTGACTGGCATTCTGAAGGACCCGCAGTGCGCAAGAAACGCACTCAGGAGTGAAATCAGAAGAGAGCATCAAGAAGAGGAGCAGCAAACATACAAAGTGGAAGCACAAGGGAGCTTAAAGAAACACAACAGCGGGGGGGCGGCGAGGGCTAAACCAGAACATCGGTTTAACTCAGCAACGCGCTGCGCTGAAAGAGGCAAATGCATGAGATGCAGAACAGAGACGGAGACTCACCCAAAAGTGCAGACACAAGGGCGCGGCAGCGAACCCAGAGAAAAGAACACACAAGTGGAAACAAAAGGTCGCGGCCTCAAGGACAAGCAAGAACACCCAATCAACGCGTGGAAGTTACCTCCGCTGGGCCTCCCAGGAGCCCACGAAAGTGGCCACAATGACGCAGATCGCAAGCCCCCAAAGGGCGGCGAGGTACCGAGGTGATCCGCGTGGGACGTACCTCCGCTGGGCCTCCCAGGAGCCCACGAAGGTAGCGACACTTGCGCAACTCGCAAGTCTCCCAGGGGGCGGCGAGGTCTCGAGGCGGTCCGCGTGGGACGTACCTCCGCTGGGCCGCCCAGCAGCCTACGAAAGTGGCGACAATTGCGCAGATCGCAAGCCCCCCAGGGGGCGGCGAAGTGCCGAGGTGATCCGCGTGGGACGTACCTCCGCTGGGCCTCCCAGGAGCCCACGAACGTGGCGACATTTGCGCAGATCGCAAGCCCCCAGGGGGCGGCGAGGTACCGAGGTGATCCGCGTGGGACGTACCTCCGCTGGGCCTCCCAGGAGCCCACGAAAGTGGCGACAATTGCGTTGCGCAGATCGCAAGCCCCCCAAGGGGCGGCGAGGTCTCGAGGTGATCCGCATTGGACGTACCTCCGCTGGGCCTCCCAGGAGCCCACGAAAGTGGCGACATTTGCGCAGATCGCAAGCCCCCAGGGGGCGGCGAGGTACCGAGGTGATCCGCGTGGGACGTACCTCCGCTGGGCCTCCCAGGAGCCCACGAAAGTGGCGACAAATGCGCAGATCGCAAGCCCCCCAGGGGGCGGCGAGGTCTCGAGGTGGTCCGCATTGGACGTACCTCCGCTGGGCCTCCCAGGAGCCTGCGAAAGTGGCCACAGTTGCGCAGATCGCAAGCCCCCCAGGGGGCGGCGAGGTCTCGAGGTGGTCCGCGTGGGACGTACCTCCGCTGGGCCTCCCAGGAGCCCACGAAAGTGGCGACAATTGCGCAGATCGCAAGCCCCCGAAGGGGAAGCGAGGTCTCGAGGTGGTCCGCGTTGGACGTACCTCCGCTGGGCCTCCCAGGAGCCTGCGAAAGTGGCCACAGTTGCGCAGATCGCAAGTCTCCCAGGGGGCGGCGAGGTCTCGAGGTGGTCCGCGAAGGACGTACTTCCGCTGGGCCTCCCAGGAGCCTGCGAAAATGGCCGCAGTTGCGCAGATCGCAAGCCTCACAGGGGGCGGCGAAGTCTCGAGGTGGTCCGCGTGGGACGTACCTCCGCTGGGCCTCCCAGGAGCCCACGAAAGTGGCCACAGTTGCGCAGATCGCAAGTCTCCCAGAGGGCGGCGAGGTCTCGTGGTGGCCCGCGTTGGACGTACTTCCGCTGGGCCTCCCAGGAGCCTGCGAAAGTGGCCACAGTTGCGCAGATCGCAAGCCTCCCAAGGGGCGGCGAGGTCTCGAGGTGGTCCGCGTGGGACGTACCTCCGCTGGGCCTCCCTGGAGCCCACGAAAGTGGCGACAATTGCGCAGATCGCAAGACCACCAGGGGGCGGCGAGGTCTCGAGGTGGTCCGCGTGGGACGTACCTCCGCTGGGCCTCCCAGGAGCCCACGAAAGTGGCCACAGTTGCGCAGATCGCAAGTCTCCCAGAAGGCGGCGAGGTCTCGTGGTGGTCCGCGCTGGACGTACCTCTGCTGGGCCTCCCAGGAGCCTGCGAAAGTGGCCACAGTTGCGCAGATCGCAAGCCTCCCAGGGGGCGGCGAGGTCTCGAGGTGGTCCGCGTGGGACGTACCTCCGCTGGGCCTCCCAGGAGCATGCGAACGTGGCCACATTTGCGCAGATCGCAAGCCCCCCAGGGGGCGGCGAGGTCTCGAGGTGGTCCGCGTGGGACGTACCTCCGCTGGG